GTGAGCTGTCAATGAGAACAGGAGGGCTGCCAGCGCAGTGGAAGGCAGCAAACTTCGTTTCTTTAAATGAGGGAGGTAGCAGGATGGCAGCAAGCAGCTTTAGGCCTATTAGTTTAACGTGTCTTTCATGAAAAACGATGGAAGCTCTAGTAAATAGCCCTATACAGCACTTTTGCGAAGAAAATAACGACTTGTGGGATTTTCAACATGGCTTCGGGAAGGACGTTCCTGCCTCCCAAATCTGCTAGCTTGTCTGGAGATTTGGACCTGGACTTTAGAAAAGGGTTTTGAGGTGGATGTGATGCACATCGATTTGCGCAAAGCTTTGGATAATGTTCCCCACCAACGCCTTCTTCACAAATTGAGCGCCATCGGCATCCGGGGAAATCTACTCGACTGGATAAGGGCGTTTCTTTTCGATCGGAAACAACTTATCTGCATCGGAGATTATATGTTAGACTGGATAAACGTGACTAGTGATGTGCCTGGAGGCTCACTTCTGGGACCGTTGCTTTCCATTCTTTATGTTAATGACAGCCTTCAGGAACTCGACTGCGGTAAAATAATGTTTGCCGACGACTTTAGGCTCTGGTGAGTCATTAAGAGTTCTTACCATCATAGAACCCTTCAAACCAATCTGCATCGACTGGAAGCGTGGTCGGAGGAATGGCTTCTAAGTTTAAATGTGCAGAAGTGTGCTGTGCTTTAGCTGCGTCCAACCAACTCTCATTCAAATGACAGTCGGAGGACATATCACTTGAAAGATATAAGACTGCCCGCAGAATCTTTACAGATAGATCTCAGGGTTTGGATACAGAGAGACATGAAGCCAGCACCACAGTCCAACAAGGCTGCAAAAAACGCCATGGGAGTACTGCAGCGTATCCTGCCCGGGCCGTCAGGACATCATGCCACAAACGCGTGACAAGCGAACGATCAAGGTCATGGCCCCCTGTTCACACCGTCTTTATGCTGATTGGCCACCCATCAGCCTATGACAGTCCCCCTTGCCATATACCCGGCCGTTTCCACAAGCCTCCTCACTTGTGCTGTCTATCGTACTCAGTACACGTCCTATTTCCAATTAGCCTTCTGTTTTGCATACATAACAAGTACTCCATGCGATCAAAAGAAAATTTGTGACCTTCGACAAGCACCGTTTTGGGAGAGTTTACAGCGCCTTTGTTCGGCCTCATATAGACCTTGGCATACAAGCGTGGTGGCCATAACTAACAAATGACCAAACATGCCTTGAGGGTGTACAATGTCGTGCAAAAAGGCTTTTAAACGGTTTAAAAGGCTAAACATATGCAGAAAGACTGAATTGCCTTAAATTATTTCCTTTGTGTTACAGACTGCAGAGGGGTGATCTTATCCTCGTCTACAAGGTACTACATGGCCTTGAGCATGGACTTAGCTTTGACGACATGTTTTAGTAGCGTCTTTCACTACATCTTCGTTGTCACTCGATGAAGCTATGGATAAAAGTGCCCAGGCTGAATCTTCGTTCCGAATTTTTCACGCAAAGTGTAGTGGAGAAATGGAACGATCTCCCTCAGTCAGTCGTTGAGGCGACGTCCCTGCAGTTCTTCAAGAAACGTTTGGATGGTCATTTGTGTCCCCTGTTTTCCCTGGAGAGTCTGAACCTGAGCTAAATACCTCGCGACTTCTGTAAATTTTTATCCAAAAATATTACTGAAATGAATCAAGTACTGTTTTAATGGCGAATGTTTTCGTTGTCCGCGTTCAGTTATTTCTAACGAGCTAGTATGTAATCAGTTTGGTTTTCAAAGGCCTTGCCTATTATCCTTACCAGACATACTGAATACATAAACTGAAAATACTTGACGGAAAAACTCTACATCCGAATTATGGAGGGACCTCCATATCGCACCTAGGCCATACACGGTCTTTGATATCTTGGCGGGTTGAGGCGAGTTGTGGACGTCATCAGCACGAGGAGGTCTCTTTGGTTGTTGACTTATTTTGGCTGCCAACCTGAGACGAATCAATGATACTCACATCCTATCGTCCTTCTGTAGTTAGATCGCAATCGAGAACTTGCCACTTCTTGAAGTTGACTTTAAGAATTCATTCTTCACACATTTATTACATATGGTAATAATTATGTTGTAGTTCTGGTGCAGCCTCTGGCCTACTTATTGTTCTCCACAATATGAGATCATCACCACACGTCACTCTCTGGCAGTTCACGCAATCCAAGCAGGTGTCCACAGAATGGGGCCACGAACGCCCACTTTAATTCAGCGTCACCAATACAAGCACATTGTTACACTATCCTGTCTGTGGACTTCCAGTAGAAAATCAGTCAGCTAACGACAATAATCCGTTTCCCTTCCCGTCAGTTCC